CCTGCCATGGGCAGTGACACCTCACTAAATCAGGTTGTTCAAGGTTTTAGCCAACCTGGCTCTGAACACTGCCAGGGTTGGGGCAGCCACAGCCTCCCTGGGCAACCTGTGCCACTGTCTCACCACCAGAACAGCAAAATGTCTTCCAAAGATCTAATCTAAATTTCCCCTCCTTCGAGTCCATTACTCCTTGTCCTGCAGATCCTGCAGATCCTAACACTGCAGATCCTAACACAGAGTCCCTCTCCAGCTTCCCAGTAGACCCTCCACATATTGAGAAGTTGTTCTGAGGTCTCCATGCAGTCTTCTCTTCTCCAGGCTATACAGCCCCAACTCCCTCAGCCTGTCCTCACAGGGAGATGCTCCAAGTCTCTTAGCAACTTCATGGCCTCCTCTGGACTTGCTCCAACAGTTCCATGTCCTTCTGATGTTGAGGACACCAGAACTGTGTGCAGTATTCCAGGTGGGTCTCACCAGAGCAGAGTAGAGGGGAAGAATCACCTCTTTTGCCCTGCTGCCCACACTGCTGTGGATGCAGCCCAGGATTCCATTGGCTTTCTGGGCTGAGCTCACACTGCAGCTCATGCTGAGCTTCTCATCCTCTGTCACTCCAACGTCTTTCTCATAACTGATGGTTTCAATTACTTCCCCACCCAACCTGTAGCTGTGTCTGGGATTGCTATGGCCCAGATATAGGACCTTGCACGTCATTTTGTTAAAATATGTCAATATAGAGTACTCTACACACACATATACATCCTGTTTATATATCATAAACCTGCATTAATACTGTATTATGGATCCACAGCCACATATCTAAATGCAGAGATATATATCCGTAGTAACTGTCCCAGAGTAGCCTGGCATCTTAAAGTAGCTCTCTCTCATGTCCTATTTCTTTAGCAGCAGAAAATCCCAAGAGCTTTCAGGGACTGCTAGAGCTGTGGCCTTATAATTAAACTTCATATTAAGTTCTCTAATTGCATAATTTCACTGTTTTCTTTTGAGCCTCTCATAGAGACCTTCATACAAAGACAAGTATAAAGCAGCTCCTCTGTAATACAAGATTTCCAGTATAGCCTCAGAAACACTGACATCCTCCCAGCCTAACACAAGGACTGTGTCATCAAAGTGAACCTGGAAGCTCTTGAACATTTGTTTTCCCCCTTGTAGAAAACCTTATGCTTTCAGTAGTCTCCACATCCAGTCCCCTCAGATTCTAACCCAAATTATTTCACCAAAAAGCATTAGACAAACACTTTTCCCCTTTAAATATAACTTAGAAAAGCAATGCTATCAGAATGATAATCAACCAGCTTTCTGCCAACTAGCATCTACTTTTCCATGAACAACTGCTTGGCAATCTACAGACACAATGGATTTCTTACCCAAAAAGAAGTTTTGCAGCTCAGGTCCTGCATTTTCATTTATTTAATAAACATGGATGGCAAAATATGCTTATCCAAACAATGTAATTACACCAAGAAAACTGTGAAGGTACTAATCATAACTTTCCTGAATATCATCACTTCACTGTTCAGCTCTGTGGACATTGTTCACTTGGTGAAAACAGACACAGATTAATTTCACATTTCTTGCTTACATAGTTCACACTAAATCACACACCAAAAGAATTCTAGTTACTTCTGCTACATAGCAGCAGGAAAAAATGTGTAGTTAAACAAAAAGTCAGTTTCTGGTTTTTGACCAACTGATCAGTTTCTGTTTTCAGATCAACTTGAGCAACCTGTTCTGGTGGGAGGTGTCCCTGCCCAGGCAGGGCAAGGGGTCAGGACTAGATGATCTCTAAGGTCCATTCCAACCCTTAAGATTCAATGCTTCTATGACCAAGCTTGACAACCTTTTGACAACATTAATTCTAGGCCAAAACATTTTCTTTTTTTTTCTTTTCCTGCTAGAATAGTTGGTATAACAGCCGAGACTGGCTCTCCTCCTAGTTTTCTGTTTAGCTACTGACAATAACAGCATCAGTGCTGATGAAATGCTGAGTGTTCATCATCCACCTTTGCTTTACACTTGACAAAGAACACTTCTATTAAAAAACCACCATCAAAAAACACTTTGTGCATAATCAACTCCATGTTGGTCTCAGCTTTGTATTTTACCTGTGAATTATTCCTTTCCCATGCAAATACTCCAGGGCTGATACAATTTCAGCAGTGTAAAACCTGGTACAGGTCTCATCAAATGAGCCAATCTTGCGTATGTACTTCAGCAGCTCCCCATTCTTGGCATAGCTAAGCCCAAAATCTGAATGGAAGTTAGTTAAGGTCTATCCCCAAGCCATTCTAAAACAAAAATCCCCATGTATCATTCCAAAGACAGGTACAATACTAAAAATATATAACAAGAGGGAACAAGCTGATTAATTTGAACCTTTACACGGTAGCAACCCAAATCAATTTCTTAAACACACTGAACAACCCAGGGCACAGGTCTCAATTTCACAGCATAGCAAGGACTACACAAAGGGTTAATTCTGTAGGTTTTTTTCCCCCAGGCAGTGACCTGAATAATTTGAATTGTAGACATAATTGCTCTCCAAGAGAATTATTTGCAGCAATAACTGATCGAAGTTTGAAATTGTGGTATCACCTGGAAAGTCCCAGACCCAAGAGGGTCCCTGTGAGCTCTGTCAGTGCATGCTGTATGACCTGCAGGGGCTGAAGCAGCCTGGGGGAAAAACACAACTACTTACTGATCCCAGAAATTGACTGATCTACCCCTTGATTCTTGCCACTGCCAATTTGAAGCAGGAAGTTTAGGATGAAATTCACATCATTAACATTTTCTTCACAAGGGGGAAAATAGCCAACTGCAAACCAATGAGCTTCCAGGGTGAAACTGCAATCATGGCTACAAAGAGAACTTGGCAACACTAGCCCAAACAGAAGATTCAGATTATTCTGTAAGCACTTTTACATGAGAAGAGTGTTAATAATAGCTCTCATTGCTGAAGTAAGAAGTATTAGTAAATATAGTTGACTGCCACTATTTGAAATGCAGCAATTGTGATGTTTTACTGTATATATCAGAAAGAAAACATTTCTAAAACACTTCTCATACACCACCCACAATTTAGTACTTTTAAATTATTTTAAACTTAGATTGCTGCAAGTCACCCTTCAACATTTAGCCCATGGACCATGTAAGTTACTGTTTTGTTCCCAAAAGACAGACTCTCTCCTCTCTGTGGGAACACACTCATCCCAACCTCTTAACTCCCATTAAAAGCATGGCTGCAAAAATTGCATTACACACATGAGGATATTGTAAGTACCTCCAGCTATTTTCCTCATTCCTGTTAGACCATGTTTTGAAGGAACCAAAACTGGGGATTGTTACTGCTAAGAAGGTTTTAGTATGCCAAGGATACACAGCTTTTCATCATCCTGAAAGGTGAAGTAGAGTTTCACAAAGAAAGGGTGATCCAGACGGGACATGACATCTCTCTCTCGTGTCACGTATGGCACCTTATTTTCTTTGATGATATGACGTTTCTCTAGGATTTTAACTTAATGAAAAAAGACAGAGTAAAAATGCAAGAGAACAACCAAACAAAGCCCATCCATGTCACATGTTTTGGGGTTTAGGGTTAGATAAAATTAGCATAAAACTGCTAATTCTGTTTGTAGAACAGGTGTTTTGTACTAGGACTGTATTGATAGTTCACATCAAAGGAGTCAATACTCACTGGCATATTCTCTGGAACTTGCCAATTCTCGTGCCAAGACAACCTGTTGCCAGAGGAGAAAAAACATATTGTAACTGTTCATTAAAGACATATGTTAACATTGATTTTGATCTTCCAGTAGGTATTTAGAATGCAGCAAAAGATTAAAATATGTGTGCATGTTGTGCTGGCTTCAGCATGACTGCTGCACAAATTCAGCTCAGCGTTAACAATGCTTGTTTTGCTAAGACTTACACACCCGAGAGGGTAAACACTGATTTACTGGGTTTTTTTCCCCCAGAAGGATTTTGAAGATTGTAACTTAAGACACAGTAGATCTTCTTAAAGGGGGGGGAAAAAAAAAAAAGCTACAAGTACACTGAGGAAGTACCCTCAGAAGCCACAAAGCAGAAATAATTGCCAACATAACTGGCAGACATCATGGCCAAGCCCAGCTCTAAGCTTGAACAAATACTTCAGACTGCCAGAGATTAAATCTGCATTTAAGAACTGGGTTTGGTCAGACAGTCATACTTCCTCAGAGCGCCTCCTGTTTTTAAGAGATGCCTCATTTATAGGTGGAGACAAAACCAGGGCAGGGAATAAATATGTACCAGCCCTACAGAAGGAGGTGAGCAAGACAACATGCCTACTCAAACACCACAATTATCATTCTGCCAGCATCAAACAGGTATTATTCTGAAAAAAGTCTGAAGCTGTCTACAAAACAAGTAGATTCTCCTTACTCCAAAAAAAGCAGAACAACTACTAGGCCCTGCATTTGTATACATTTGTTTATATCGAGCATGGGTCCAGGAAGTTAGAGCTGCAGAAGAAGGTCCCACAAAATTGCAGAATGCTCTGAACAAAAATCCTGAAGCCACATCATGTGCATCCCTGTCAAATTTAAAACACAGCACTGGCACCAGGCAGAGTTTGTGGTAGGCTTAAGAGAGGTCCACGAATCCAGAATCTATTCATTATGACCCTGAATAAAACACGTTTTCAACCTGAAACTGTCACTGGATACATGATAAGAGGAATGTTCTGCTTTTTGAGACGAACACTTTTCAGTTAGGATATTGGTCAGGGTCTTGGGGAGTACAATCAGATCTCTGAATCTACGAGAAATCAGATGCTTTTTAACAAGATGTTTTGGTAACAACATGCCCCACACATCAATACAGGTTGTGCTGCCATCCAGAGAGACAGGCAGTTTATTCAGTCTGGGCTAGGCCTTATGAATTTCTCTACCTACAAGGAACATGGTATTAACTTTCAGGGACCAAAAGCAGAAATTACAAGTGTATCACTGAAGCAGAGTGTTCTGGTATACCCAAGGCGCAGCAACTCTCTTGGATTCTCTAGGGGAAACCTGCAAGTTGTGCAAACTACCTATTTCAGTGCGAATGACTCTTGATGAGCCCTAGAGTTCTGCACCCTGAACTCACCAGCAGACTGCATATGAAGCAGAAACCCTCAATATTTAGAGACCAACAACCAACAGGTGTATGCAACAAATGACATGAGAAAAAAATACAGAAATATTACTGTCTTGCAACTCGGCAACTACAAAAGCATCAAAGGAAAGTACTAATTGCTTCATGGGTTGGTTAAGACAGCACTTAAGGATGTGAGGAGTTAGAAACAAACCATTTAAGGCTACTGAATACAAAGATACTAACTGATTCGTGAAGAGGTTATGCGCCACGACACTAGAGGCTGAGAACAATATTGGAGAAGTACCACTGTTCTTTCTTTCTTCTAAGCACCTGGCAGTAGCTCCTGCCACAGAGGACATTGCATAACTCTTACCAAGATGAACTCCTAGACCAGTTCCAATCCTCTGCATCATAAACTGTACACACTACACTACCACACTTACATTAGAAAGCAAAGATGACTGAAAATCCAAGCATCAAGTCATTCGGCCACAACAGAACTGTCGGCGAATCTAAAAGGTGCTTGGAAAAAATCAGCACCCATATTGAGTGCAGCACTTCATTTAGCAGCTAAGCTTCAAACCACTACATCCTACTCATTTACTCTTCACACTGTTCTCTCCAGATTTCAATCGTGGCAGTATTGTTTGCACAACAAATTTTGAAGTTTGTCTAAGATATCTGGTACTTTTATAAAAAGTAGTTACCGTTGAAAAAGATCCTTCACCCAGAATCTTCCCAAACTTGAAGTCATCAGGTCGTTTCTTCCGAGGCTGCGGAGGCTGCTGTCCTGTATGTTGCTGCAAGGAGTTTGAACCAGATCTTGATTCAGCTGCTGTGCCCTCCATGTTAGATCCCTGTCTGCTGCCACAGGTGGAAATGACAGATGGAGTGCTGGAATCTGCTTGGTTCCTCACCATTGATGGGGACGAACAGGAGCATAACACCACACTTGATTGGATGGGAACAGCATCATACTGAAAAGAGAAAGGAAACTGTTATTCCCATACCTGAAATAATTACCACCCACAACTGCACTATTTCCATACAAGCATCACATAAAGTCCTCTTGGAACGAGTTATCATTAAAATCTCTTACAAGGGAATGTCAGCACTCATTTTGGAAATGGCAGCTCTAATTTGTTAAACAACTCTGTTCAGGTCATGCTGCACACAGACATAGCCACAAGTCAAGAATGCTTTCTTCAGACTGAAAAAAACACTGCCTAACACCAAGTTATCAAATTTCACAATATCCTCCTACTAATAACAAGATCTTTGAGGTTCTAGTTATGTGATGAACACCTGTATTTACCAGAAACATTAGTTCAGAGATCCAAGTTACCACGGGCTGTAAAGGAACACATGGAAACAAATAGAGACAAAGGGTACATTCTTAGGTTTTCACTTGGAATTCCACTTTTTCCAGTAGTATTTCTCTTCAATACACACTGGGCAAGGACAAGAAGAGATAACAACATAAAAAGGCAGATCAGCTGCAGGGTTTAGCAACCAGCAATGTCTAATACTTTTTCTGAAGAATTCTCTGGCTCACGACCTTTCAAAACAAGGGAGATTACACTATTTAAATTGTGCATATGGTCACATAAAGAAGCCCAATTCCAAAACAAAGAACCACATATAGCCCAGAAAACAGCAAGTACAAGATGACACATCTGAAACCGATTCATGTAACATACTAAGCAAATCACTGTTTGGTAAACTTTTAATAATTTTCCCTAACTAAGCCCAAGGAACCTTGTTCAGCTGCTTTCTGTCCCTGTTGGTAACACATCTCCACTAGTCTGTCAGGGTCTGCTTCAGGTGTTTTACCTGAAACTGGCCAGAACATGTAAACCACAGGAGAGCTCTGCCAAACTACTGCTCACAATGAAAACTGAAATGGTACCTAAACAGAGGAAATATTTAAGAAAGTTACCACCAGGTCTGACCATTATTTTTTAATCTCAGTATTCTAACACATATCCAGCAGAACAAAACTGATTTCATGGAAACCTCCTAACCTCAAACAGATGAGTTCTCCAACCCTGACCTAGTCTGTGACACACATCGTGCTGATTTTCAATTAAAAGTTATTTCTGACAAAAAGAATCTCTTATCTCATGAATTCCAATTTGATTCAAAACAATTTTCTCAATTTCTGTCAGTAACCACCTTGGAAGGAAACTGGACTTGTGTTCAGCCATGAATATGGGTTTAAAGCACCTGACTCCCAAATGAGCAGCTCCTCCTTGGCTGTGCTCTGTGCCGTAGGGAATCTCTGCCTTTATTTACTGTTAAGACTTCTTTCAAAAAGATACAGTTCAGAAATCCACTTTACTTGCACGTTTAGTGGCACTACTGAACAATGAGACACAACTGTATTTCTAGATGTTCTAATAGAGCACCTTCCACAAAACACAAGGGAAGATTCCCTTTCCAACCCGGGTGCAGTGTCCTTGATCCAGGATCTCTATTGCTCTGGTGCTCAGGGCTTTTCCCAAGAATTATGACTACACCCACAGGGAAGCATATCAAGGTTATTACACCTTTGTCTGAACTTTGGGATACAGCAGAGACTGATAAGGAATCTGCCTATAATGATAGCTATTTGCTATATCTTGCACAGCTTTTTGAGGACAAAATGGGGTAAGGCTGAGGGAAGACTTGGTGACAGATGGGAGAACGTTGCTTTTCAGAAAATATAAGTCCCCCAGAGAACAGTATGTGCCCTACTTGGAATCAGCTATGCAGCACCCTTCCCTTTGAAAAGAAAACATATTGGTACTGCTATTATGAAAACAGCACATACACATTAAGGTATGTATGCTGTAGGTCACAGCTCCTTCCATGCAGTTATTTTAGCTGACACCTTCCCCAGACCACTGTCCCCAACATTTTCACAGCCCAGCTGAATCACCTTTCCTTCAGACAGCTACTCAAACAGCCTGTACAAGGATACACACTAGACAGAATTTAAATCAGACTGTGCTTTCCCACCAAGAGTGCAGCAAGACTGACACAAGCTCAGCAACTGAAGTGATGCCAATATAAGAAACAGTCCATTAATTGAAATGTAGTAAATAAAACATGCACATGGACCAACTATCAGGATTTAAATAATGAACTGGCTCCAGTCATGCTGTTCTAGAGCAGATGAGGGTTTACAGGTAAATAAAGCAGCAGCATTGCAGGGGGGTCTGATTAGATTCTGCAGATAGTGAGAGCATCCTGAAACAACAAACAAGCAAGAAAAAAAAATCCACCACAATAGCACCAGAGTGCACTGGGAAAAAGGGAGGGAAAGGTGTTGGATGCAGTGTACTTCCTTACACAGTATCTGAAACTAAGCCACAATGAATATCAAGTACAGAAAAGTCCTAAGGGAAGAGACAGGAGTAAAGGACTTTGTAGGAAGAGGTTATTTCTAGCCAGGCTATAACATCAATTAGCTCCCTGACTTTCTCAAAAAAAAGTCAAGATTAAGAACAAGGAGGACAGAGGAAGATGCAATAGATTTAAAGGATCAGAAATGACAGAACTATGCAACTAGGTCTGTTATGTTGCACCTGAACATTTACAGAAAAAGGTAACTCCTGTGAACATTAAGGAAAAGAAAACAACAAACTAAACCAGTTTCAGGAGAAAATCAAATTATTGAACTCCTGGAAAAAAGTATCAAATAATCTCACTAGAACCTGTTTCAGCCATGTGGTATCAGACAACACAGAACTCTAAAAATGAGGATCACCTGCAATTCAACACAAATCTTAGTGGATATAAGAATTACTGAGTGATGTATGTCGTAAGGTAAGAAGTTCAGGGACTCCCATGAAAATAAACCAGTACAATATATAGGCTACATCAGCAGAGCCTGCTTCAGAAATGAAGGATGCAGAATGCACCATAGCAGCATCTGGGATACCTAAATTCACCTTTTCACTTGCAAATGGAAACTGAGAGGCTTTCAAAAAAGACACAGCCTGACAGAGTACAGGACAGCCTCCCTGGCTGTCAGTGTCCAATCACAGCTTCTCCATCCCTGTCAAACAGCCCTTGGGCACAGGAACACCTTCCAAAGTCTAGGGATCTACCATCTAGTGCACAAGTTAGTATACTGGTCTTGAAGTAAAAACACAGATTCCGTATCTTTACCTGTGCAATTAAGAAGGAATAAAAGTCTTTATTTCACAGAGAAGGCAATTGCTTTCCCTGAACAGGTGCTTTGTAGCTGTAGAAATAAAGCTGCCTTGCTGCTGTTAGCAATACTGAGACTTGGCTAAAGACAGTGCAAGTCAGAAAGGCTTGGCCTGAGAGGTTCTGTAAATTACTTTGGCGTTGTCACTAAGCCAAAAGTTCTGAAACCGAAATGTGTTTTGTATTGTTTATAACTTAAACACTGACAACCTGGGGCTCTCTAAGGATGTGTCTGCAAAATACCACAGTAAAAATGTAACAGCTAGGCAGTTATATTAACTATACTCTTTTCGTGGCACACTGGTGTTCCAGAGGGTTGGCAAAGATGCAGCAACTGCATCTGACACACATCTTGTATCCGAAAAAGAGCATCAGAAGGGGCAATTAACAGATGTTACGCACAGCTTTCCCACTGGCCTCCTCCCCCCTCACATCCCACAATTAAAATGTTTACCTTCTCCATGCTCCCCAATACCTATTTGTGACAGTCTCCACTTCAAAGGCTACAGTGCAACACACCCTGGGAGTTCCAGTATATTCCAAAAGAAAAGAGTAACTCATTAGGTCAGATACTCAGACTGAATGTGTATCCTCAAACTATGCCTCATAATACCTACCATGAGTCTGCAGGCAGTAGCTCAGAGTAGCTCAGCTACAAGAAACTCAAGATACAAGGACACTGATTCAGAATAACAAAATCCAACTGAAAGCCTCACCTTCCAGTGCAGAGAGCACAGTGCAGGCTGCACTTCCCAACATACACCAATCCCTAGAGGAGTGGTTTGCAGGAAGTGTAATGATTATTGTGTGATCCCTATCAATATTTAACACGAGTTTTCCTTTCATAAACTCTGCCCATTGCTGCACCAGTGACTGCCCTGAATGAAGGCAGCCCAGGGCAACAACAGACGGTGTGCTTTCATAAACTGCAGCAAACATCAATTCTCAGCCCTTATATGCTCATGTCTGTCTATGCTCTGGACTTCTGTCTAAAAATGGACTGCCAGACTTTCTGCTAAGTGACAAACAGCATCCTCTTTCTAGGAACAAGTGTGTGTATTGAGAGAACAATCTACTGAATAATTTATCAAACCCCACTGCATGCCAGTTTCCACTTCTATATGCTTAGAAGTTTGTCAGATAATTTAAAGAATTCAATAATGTATCTATCTGCCAACGTTACTATTGCTGCCTTTAAGGAATTAAAACACTAGCCTAAGAGAAAAGCCACTCATCACAAAGTGTCACCAGATGCTGCCTTCTCACAGCAAGATAACATCAAGCATGCAATGGACAGGACAAAACTGGGATTAAGCCAAGCCTCGGCAGCACTTCTGAACACACTGCAGAGCTAGTGAACTGTTCACCCACCTCACAGCTTAACTCTGGCACTCATGGCCATACAGCCACGTTAAAAAAATCCCCAAGCACCACAGTAACTGGGAGGTGTTTAAACACATGTACTCTGCTCAACTTTCAGCCTGACAGATGTTCAACGGGATTTCTACGAGCAAACACTCCCCCCCAAAACACAAAGAGAAGCTTATTAAAAACTACACTAGTTACAAAGAGATCTTGCCCAGACAACAGGATGCTCTTTTCTACAGAGAGGTTCTTTGAAGATCATAGTAAGCCAAACTGCAGCAAACAAACCCTGCTCCAGGTATAGTTATTTGGAGATATTAAAAAAGCATTAACATCAAACACGAATCTTCTGTAGCACAGTGGTTTGTGTTTATGTTGTACAGAGCTGCATCAGCACTTCCAAACCTCAGCACTA